CATGTAATCTTGACTTTTCTTCTTTTCTTATGTATCATGATAGTAACTGGTTGATAGCCAGTGTAACAGAATATGAAAGTTTAAAGGATTACATTTCTACTGGTAACTGCTGCCTATACTCTAGCAGTGTTTTTGCTTAGGTAATATCAATCTCATGCAAAATGAGTTTCACTGTATGTTGGGCAATTATCCATTTAATAAAGAGCTAGATCCTGAGTGTAATTGAAAAACTGAAACACATATTGTGTTTCATATGAAACACATAGACCTCCTTAAGAGCCTCATTTTATTATCTACTAATCATCTGCCACTGTCAAAAACTGAGTTCTAAATAGGTCATTAAGACCCTGTTTAAATCATTTTTTTTCCATTTGACATAATTTTGGTATCACTTTTAAGACTTGTGGGCTACATCTAGATTAGTAAATCAAACTCGACTCAACTGTTCACTGAATGTGATTCCTTCTATCACAGAGTGATCTCCATCCATTACACTTCTTCAAGGTCAAAATGGGCCACCTGCATCCCAGCTGTCTATTGGGAGTGGTCCTTGGCCCTTGCTAACTCCTGAACTAAGCCAATGAATTGTTTGAGACAGTGCTGCTTGGTACAGGTCAAAATTGTCGAAGGCTATTTAAAAAAAATGTTGCAGGATGTGTATGTCTGAATTCCAGAGCCCAGTAACATTCCCAGGCACTATTACATTTAGTAGTCTACATAAAACCATCGTGTTATGATATGTTCCTTAGAAAGATTGCCTATTTGGGGCACCTGTATTTCAATTCATTCCCTCCCCAAAATGAGCATTTACATTGTTCAAAACAGTTACACAATCTCACCTCTTGATCCTCAACTATTCTTTCTTAACGCAAAATAGTTTGCTCATAGTTTCTCATGCACAGGGACTAAGCAGAGAAACCCTTCCTCAGAATAGTGAGTCTAATGTCTGAAGAGTAATGACAGATAACAAGGGAGAAGCTCATCTTTAACTTCAAGTAACTTACACATCAAAACTGGAAGTCTGGGCTGAATGGTGGTACTCCATTAAGATTCCAATCCTCTAAAAGCATATTTGGCAGTCTTACCTCATTCTGCTGACCCATGTCTGGTTCCAACCTTCATGAAACATTTGATTTGAATTTACTTTTCATAACAAATGACTCTGCAAAGAGCACACTTACTTTATTTTAATTATTTCTACTATCATT